TTTTCAGTATAATCACCAACCACGAATGAATTACCTCATCTTCGTTTATTAAAACGTGTTTAATGCTGTTTTTCAGTATGACCACCAATGCACGAATGAAATATTCTATCTTCGGATACACTGGTTTTATCAAAAGTATGAGGTAAAACTGTCGGATGCAACAAAATTTTACCAGTACGTATAAAACTTTACTGCAGTTACACCGGTCATCAAAATTTTGTCTGAATGGTGGATTACATCTGCACTGACTTTTAAACTCTGAACTGAAAAAGTTAGCACATCAAAATTCTACATTTTTTAAACTAGTCAGAGATGAAACTCAGGCAGCTAATATGCAAACTGCCGGCATGAAAAACATCAACCTTGATGCGATCGTAAACGCCAGATCAACGGTGTCCAAATCATAGGTTTTACTTCAACAAGGTTAGAAAAAATACTTTCATCATTTATGCTTGCTTGGAGAACTTTTTGACTTACAATGGTCTACAAGACGCTGCATACTGTCATTTATCAGGCACGCATGAACTGAAAGCCAATGACATTGCGGTCTTGTGGCGATGTATTATGAACACTATCAGACCTAGAAGATTGCCTCTACAATTAACATTGAGGACATGGTCCATCAACTTCGCAAAGTGTGTAAGCCCTACGACTCTTGCAGTTCTGCTACGCAAAGAAAATTAATTATTCTGATAAAAAGTCAAATTTCGAGAAAATTAGGGTAGTCCATTTTTTTCGAGCACTCACGACACATCAGAACCAAGGATTGCTCGCTAAGAGAATTACGTAAGGAACCACTATGACTTCTTCCTGCTGTCACACATTACATAGCAGCACGCCTATGACAACATGATACACCATCATGAGTCATGGATATTTTTTCTCTTTCGACCGCTTGCTATGCTTCTACTGACGGCTGATTCGCTTGTAAAATTGATGCCGAGGGAAACTCGGTTAAATTACTCAAATGCTGAACTGCCCATCCCGTTTTTGGCATATATTTTTGATAGAATCAATTCAGATGCGCTTTGGTGTTGTGAAATGATGCTTCAAAATTACGTTAAATTCTATTCAAGCCCGCAGTATCAAATTTTTTGATGCTTCACTTACTGTCCTCTATTTTTCCTCCTTATTAAAACTGTTGCTTTTCCATTGCATAGCCAAAGGTGATCAGCAGCCTTAGATAAAATGATGAGATTTATGAGCCAACAAGAAGCCTCCTGGGTATCTGAACGTCTTATCTTGACATCGAACTAGCTGAGTAGGCGTTCGTAAGCAATATGGAGCATGGTACAGAGTCTGGACTTCAGAATACAGCCACATTTCTGACTGGACTTCATATGGCCGCACTGGCCTTGTTTCGCCTGAATCCGGTCCAATGCGCAGCATTCATGGTGAGTCAAGTACATCGGTCTGTTTACGGGATCAACGACAGTGTATCCGTTGTGGATCGATCGCACACAACATCTGTCTGCCTGGAAATGTTCGTCGAAATTAACTTGGATCACCAACATTTAGGCGACGTAGAAATGGATGCTGAACGACATCATGAAAAGGGAACTGAAGATTTGCAACAGTGTAGAAAGTGAGAGGTATTCGCGTACTTGTCCAGTCATTTGGAGGTGCAATGTAAACAGGCTTCGGTAACCACGGTGTTCTACCGGTCTTCAAGATTCCTGTCATGATTCACATGGATTTGAGGAGTCCGCCTAATTTTTGCTCGGAAACTGTAGCTTACCGAGGAACAGTATCATGTGACAGAGTACACGATGGTTTGTACTGTAGTTTGCAAAACGTACGTATTCAATTCCGCGTTAACATAACAAGTTTACCCTGCTTTGACGTTCTGCTGCACTGTCTCCAAGTACGATTTAAACGGAGTGTTCTGTCGAGGATTACGCCGAGATATTCGGGGCGATTCACTACTTTAGCATGGAAATTAACAGCGAGGGACAGTATCACCGTAGTCGACCGATTGTTTAGGTAGGACACCCTTATTCTCACTATTCAAAAGCATAATGCTCAACGCAGCGCGGCCATACGCACTTTATATATTCTCTGATGCCGGCTCATTCCAACCGAAAATTTGCTTACTTATCTGTGTAAGCCATGATGATATCCAATGATCATGTCAGAGGTACACAGATTTCTTTCTGTAATATTATCTTGCATAACATTCGTCACTAACTCCCTGTTGTCCATTTTTTGCCACTTTTCCTAACTTTGTCATGCACGAAGCGACATTAAGCTGGAGAAGATGACCGAAGGCTTAACCCTGGATCGGAAGATACTGAGGAAATTGCCAGAAAAAAGACTATAAGCTCAACTGCTGCAGATAGATCTGCGTGTACAAGTAAGGAAAACTGCTGTACCAGTCGCCATACCCACGTAAAGAGTTACTTCTTACAGAGAAAACTTCAATCAGATTGTCAAATGATCGCGGTCAGCTTATTTTCCAGTCTAACGCAATAATAAAGAATCTAAGCAGAGGATCTTCCTCGAAACTTGACAGTACAAGCGCTGAATCAGCTGAAGTCAGTTAAACGTTAAAGTGGCCTTTTCTAATTATCGAAAAAGTAAGAAAAAATTACTCACTTGTCTCGTTAGATCAATTATATCCAACAGTTTTTTGATGCCAACCAAATACCTGAAATTACAACATAAAAGTTGGGCTACTTAGTAACGTTAATCACGGAACCTTTTTCCCTGCATCATGTTCTGCAGAATGACGATTTCTTTTGGATCGAAAAGCTCTGTCTGTTCAAGTACCGCCAAAATGTCTTCGTAATTTCTCAAGGGGCTTATATGCAGCACCGAACTAAAGGCTGGGACGACCTCAAAATCTTCCATTACGCTCCTTAAACTCGTTGTGGCGATGATAAGCAGACGTCGACCCTGAAAGAACGAACCACAATCAAAATACTGTAAAACAATACCACAGACGAAGTTCACCGGTGGTGGCTGCTTCTTAATCAATACTAACAGAGCCTGTAGAACCAAATTCGAATAGCGTGGTCCAATGCGTCCATAATCTAAAATTTTTGCACAGCACTTGAGTGGAATTATCAACAATCAATGCAGTATCGTCCGCAACTGCATTCTTAGTTAGCATGAATCTCACATTAAATTAACGTTACTCGCATAGTCACGAGTGCTGAATACCGAATAAAGCAAAACATGTAACTTATACATAATCAGTAGCACGCATAAAACTAGCGCAATAATGCGGAAGAGAAACAGCTCTGTAACAATGAAGAAAGAATGATGAAGAATTCAAAGCCGCCTATAAAGCTATCTGTCTAAGCAACTGTCATCATCTATAGTAACGAGTGCTTTCACAGACACTGAGATCACAGATACAAGTAAGAGAAACGAAATTACTTCGAATGCTGACGGCCGTAAAGACGCTTCCCAAAATTGGGAAACTCACTGCATGAAAAACATTCAGGTTATGAGCGACAAAATTTCAGAAACTCCTAGAGCATGTGACGTATCTATAAAAGGACACGATAACTTTAACACCAGTCACAGCTTCTTGGGAAATTCGCTCTTTCAACTGAACTGAAGGACCGCCGACAGCACCACATTTCAAAGACGGTTATTTTGCTGATGTTCCTTGCCCCAACATTCAAATCGTCACATTTGAGAAACATCAGGAAACAATTAACTGCTTCGCGAACGCCTTTTGGCTCTCTTGAAAACTGACTAGTATTTTGCAAATAGGCGCTCGATCGAACCAGAGCGAACGGTCCGAATTAAATAAGGAAAAACACAGAAAAGGTTTCCGGAATGGAGTACTACGTTCATAGCTCAGATATCAGACAGACTACCGAAAGCGATGGAAGCACAGGATGCATTCCAATTTAACTCCGCCAGATGGTACCGCACTGAAGATTACAAAACGGATACTTAAACTGGTCGTCCGACTCCACAATTTCGTCTCCCTGATGTGCTGGCTGATCTGTTGTGCCGGATGGGTTCCTGGCTTTGGACTTTTTGATGATAACGAAAAGTCTTGCTTTTGCAGCTGCGTTCCACATGGAGGTCGTTCGGCAACATCTGATTATCGTACTACTTACCGGACAACATCAGCAGATCCTACTGAATATTAGAATCCGCACTTAAGTTTTAAGATGAATATTACCATTTGCTCTGGTCCCACCGTTTCGAAAGAGGTCATAAGCAATGCTGAACAGCAAAAGCGAAAATGGATTTGCATGACAAATTCAGTTAAAAGGGAAGTACACAGATAGCTCTCCCACGACCATAATAACAGGTGTGATTCCTTCGAACATCTCAAAAATAAAAATCACTTGCTCTGATATTCGAGTGAATATTTTACTACTTCCCACACCGTATGACGATGTGTAAAACTGATATCATCTTTTGACATCACCAAAAACTTCTATCTTTCAACTTTTATGTTTCAAGACTTGTGACCCCAATGCCTCATTTGCTTATCAGCTGGACAGATGTTAGATGCGGATCAATAATTCATACTTTAGAGGCAGCTTATACATCAGTCGATGAACAATTATTACAGTCTAACAACGGTCTTCAAATACACGATGAAACGAAGTGATGAGATCAAGAGCCTTGCAGAAATCTCAAAAGTCCTTCTCATACAGTAGAAAAGGATGCACTCGCTGGCACTGACATATAATAATTAACAACTTCGGGTTTCAAAAAATTTGCATACAAAGGAATTTATTGAGATTCTGCACTTTTATTACCAATAATACCTAAGTGATCTGTGCGTAAATACAGACTGCATTCAAAAGAACATAAAACAACTAACTTTAGACATTCGACACTTACCGATGAGTCTTTCGAGATTATCCACGAGCAGAACAGACAGCGGAGATTTGTATGCATCATCAAACGCCTATATATACATGAAATTTATATCGCCGCTTAGAACATAACGGATGTCTGCTAACCTTTCGAAGCACGGCACACTTAGCGGTTTCGCTATAACCAACCATGTCTTCGGGGGACACGACTTTAATAAATGGAAAATCAGAATTCTTCGCAATTTTTGCAGCGATTGCCGTTTTTCCGGAATTTGGAGGACCTACGAAATACACTTTGCCTCGAGTCGGAAAACTGTCAGCTGTTACCTTCGATCAGCACCGAAACAAGGCCTCGACAATCGGGAGATTTCGTTTGGCGCACAAGAAGATCCCCAACGTCCAGTATTTCGCGAACTTCTGAATTCCATATGATGACTCCAGCAGAGATGAACCGATCGAGCTGGTCCGAAGAGTGACCAAAAGCCTAGAGGGTGAGCCAGAGAGATATGTCTCAACCAACGACGCGCAACCAGCATCCACTCACCGGTTTGATGTCATTTTCTAGCCCAAACATGAAGTCGTCCCTGGTGATGACC